GAGCTGTAATATGATTTTATATATTTTACCTCATAAAACGTCTTCACACACAGTAGTGATATTTCCAAGTATTCACTCAGAAGGCATTTGTAGAATTCTACTGCCTTTTTCTCTTGCCATTTCCTAGCATGCCATTACACTGATCACCTTCAGCTAAAAGATAGGCAGAAGTTTTGTAATTCCACAGTTACATGGATTTCAAAATAGGAAAATTTTCTTTGTATTGTTATAGAGGCTTGAAAGTGACTGAAACTATAGTTTTAGTTTGGACAAGATCTGCTGCAAATTTTGTGGATTTTTTTTTTTTTGGTTGAGACAGGGTCGCACTATGTAGTTTAGGCTGGCCTTTAACTCACAGTGATCCTCTTGCCTCAGCTTCCGAAATGCTGTGATTATGGACATGCATGACCACAAGTGTAATTTCGTGGATCTCATTTTAACATATTGAGACAAGATTTATTCTATGTAGTTCAGGCTAGCCTTGAACTTGATTCTCCTGCCTTAGCCTCCTCAGCACCAGATTACAGGTCTGCACCACACCTGGCTTCACTTTAATGTAACTTCTGACAGCACAAGAAATATAGAAAAGCAGCCTGGCATGCTTGTAATTCAAACGTTAGTCACTGTGGAAGATGAATGGTCAGCTTGGAACGACAGCTGAACTGAGTCAGCGGGGTTCTGGGCGTGGAAGACATAAGGATTGTTGCCAATGGGATAGAGAACTGAAGGCGAAGACTGTATGATGTTGATTTTCTTAGAGAAGATCGCCATGGCTGATTTTCCTGATATGAACTCAGCTGTTCTCATCATTAGAGGATGATAGGTCGTCACCAGGGAAGGCTGCTGTTCTTATCAGGGGAGCTCTGGTCTTTGCCTTGAGCATTGCTTCCTGGCTCCAGAGCAGATCCCTCAACCTGCTGGTGCAAATCCTTCACCACGCCAGAGAAGGCTTTCTAGCTTCCACCACTGGCCTTTGGGCCTTCTCCGAGCAGATCCTTGATACAGATGTACATGAGACATTGCCATGGGCTCTAGGGCTCTGGCTGGACTCTTGGAGGACATTGCCTTGGGCTCTATGCGTTTAGCTGGACTCATGGAGGACACTGTTGTGGAATCCAAGCGCTCAGCTGGATTCTTCGGGTCTCTATTACATGGACAGATCTCTTGCATTCCTCTACATTTGACTTTTTGGGTGAATATTAGAAAATAATCCTATAAATTATGTGTCCTGTATTAAATTTATTTCCTTGTAAACCCTGACTACAACAGTCATCAAAAATGAATTTACAGACTGGGCTTCTGTAATCCCAGCACTGGGAGGCAGAAGCCAGAGAAGTAAAAATTCAAACCCCACCAGGGATTTAGCTCAGTGGTTCTGTTGCCTGTCTCGAAAGTGAAAGGTTCTGAGTTCGATCTCTGGTACAAAAAAAAAAATTCAAGCCCAGGCTAGGCAGTTTAGCAGGATCCTGACACACACACACACACACACACACACACACACACACACACAAACACATGCTGGGCAATTTAGCAAGATCCTGTTGTGCACATTGTCAGGGGACATAGCTCAGTGTGAATGCTCTGGGTTCAATCCCTAGTATAGGGAGAAAAAGAAGTTTCAACCAAGTTTTCAACTTTCAACCAAGTTTCAACTCTGACTGATGCTGATTTGCAATTCTAAGCTGAATTTATCAGAAACATTAAGTCTGCAGCACAAGCTAATTAATGAACTATTCCATTTTTGGAAGATAATCAAGGAAGATGCTTCTTACTCAGAAATTTTAAATCTTGGTCCTAAATTCAGAAAGTTCCAATAAAACCTTATGACAGCTAAACTATCCAACTGTCAAATACCTTATACTTTTACAAACAATCCATCCAAGGAAACACATCTTTATTGGCAGTTGCAGCACGTCTTGGCAGATTCTAGTTCAGATTATAGTTATTTTTTTTCAACCCTCAAAATACTTTTGCTTATAATTGCTCCACATAATTACTGATAGAGGCTAAACCTTCAGTAATTTCTAGGGCAACAGACTATCTCAATCTGAGACTGAGGAAGTTCCCAGAATGTGTGACTTCTAGTTTTAAAACTAGAAAAGTTGCAGGCAAACTGGGTTGGCATTGACTTCTTGAATAATTTCAATTGAGAGTATCGGTTAACACTGGTTAACTCCTTCAGAGCCAAGGAAAAACATTTTAAATCACTGGCCTTATTTTAATATTTGACTACTGATGTTGTTTCCTTAACTCTTCACCTGTGCACCTTTAAGGGTAATGATCTTCATGATTTTCTCTGGATGTATTTCTTCACCTGTTAGAGTAAAACACAAGTATCTTGGCAATGCTAACTGGCTTTCCTTGCTTGGTTAACCAGTTATTTGTAAGCTTACTTTTAGTTACAACTAAAGCAACTGGGTACCACGGTAGTCAGGTGTGGTGTGCACACCTGTAATTCTAGCACTCAGGAAGGATGAGGCAGGAGGATCACTGCGAGTTTGAGGCCAGCCTGAATGACAGTGAGAGCTTGTCTCAAAACAAAGAACAAAACACAAAACACCAAAAAACCCTAAAAACAAACAAAACAAAAACCACTCCAAAACAAAAAGAAACTAGGTACTGAGATATTCCACCTTAAGCAGCTAACCCTTGTGTTGCTTTCTTGTGGGTTGGGAACGCTGTGATGAGTGGACTGGCAGTGTTGACACACATTTTTCTAGCACAGGTGGAGTTGCTGCAAAATAAACACAATGCTTTACCTAGTTTGGTAATAAAATATATTCTCATAGTTCCATGATGTGACAGCTAATCATAACTGTTAAGCCTGACTGGATGAGAGCAGCCGATTACTGAGGCACACTTCTGGGCGTGTCCGGGTGGTCACTTCAGTGCGCACCTGGCCTGACCTGATCCTCTACTTCTCCCCTGTGCTCTGCCTCTTGGACACCAGGGATGAGCAGCTTGGCCCTGCCATATACTACCATGGTTTCTGCCTCAGAGCTAGCTGAGCAGGACAAACTTTTCAGACTGTGAGCAAAACCAAACTCTTCTTCCTTTAGGTTGTGGGTGTTTGGTATTTCGTCCCAGCAACAGGAAAGCAGATAAATATGTGACACGTGTCACGCAAGTGTGTCAAAACACCACCACTGCAGTGTGTAGTGTATTTGATAGCAGTGCTAAACAGAAAGAACCACATATAGTCTGGCCTGTCACAGCTGAGCTCTTGTAGCACAAAGGCAGGCACAGACAGTATGTACGCAGGAGTGTGAGTAGGCCAATACACCTTGGTTTAGGGACACTAAAATCTGAGGCCCATCATTTTTCATGTCATATTTTTCCCCCCACTTAAAAACGCAGAAATATAGGTAGCTGGACTCTGTTCGTGGGCCATACACTTTGTAATCACATGGTCTACAGGATGACCTGGAAGTTAGGTGGCTTTGGATATGTGATGATTTCTACCTACAGGAATTAGAAATGACCTAACGTTCTTGGAGGAAGGACAACAGCATTTTGCAGCACAGCCATCAAACAGCCAGCTGCCTCAGTCCTGAAGAACAGCCTTGGATTTATGAAAATGAGATTCTGGCATCAATATTATCCTTATTTTTCATGGTTCACTGCAATTTCCAGTCACAATAAACAGCTATACATGGCCACCCTACTCCAAATTCTGGTGATGAAGAAAAGCCCACCTTAAATCTTGAACTCCCATTAAATCTATTTATACAAATTAACTCATTCCTTTTTTTGTGGTACTGGATATTGAACCCTGGGCCTTCAAACTGGGATACAACCCCAGCCGTCTTTATTATTGAGACAGGACCTTGCTAAATTGCCCAGGCTGGGCTCTAACTTGCAATCTTCCTGCCTCAGCTTCCCAGAGTGTTGAGATTACAGGCTTGTGCCAGCATGGTTGGCTAAAACATTTAAGCAAACCTCTACACTGTTTATCCAGTAATTTCCCACTCCTATCTTGCGGCCAGTATGCAGTTTGTGAAATATCTGGCTCCAGCTGAACTTGCTCAGTGGATTCCCTTTTTCTTTTGTTTTCTGTAGTCTTTGGTTGATACATACTTGTATTAATTTTTAAAAACCAGGAACAGGAAAAGTAACCTATCATCCCATAGCATTAGTATTTTTATGGATGACTTTTCATTAAAAAAAAAAAAAAAAAGATGCATTTTGAGGCTGGGGTGTTGCTCAGTGGTAGAATGCTTGCCCAGAATGTGTAAGGCCCTGGGTTCTACCTGCAGCAGAACAAAACTAAAAGCATTTTTGTGTAGCTCTGGTCACAGACTGTTTACTGAAAACCTTTCAGAAATATTATTGGCTGAGTGGCTACTACTCCAGATTGCAGCCCCTCTCCTCCTACTGAACCTGAAAGTCACATCTATGCCACTTTGGTGTTTTTTTCCTGAAGCTGCAAAAGTATAAAAAGGGAAGCAGTTGTTTCCATTCATTCAAATACAAATTGAAATCCTGTGTCCAGAATGAGTCTATTCTAGAGGCGTATCTGCTTCATATATACTCAAAACTAAATTGGTTTTACATTTTGCATCAGAACAATTACTTCAGTATCTAATCGTATCACAGATATAAATACTGATGAAAAAATGCTTGATGGTGATGGGTGTATTTTGACGAATCTGGATTAGCTAATACAAAAGCACATTTCAAGGGAACGAGAAATTTATAGAGAAGGAAATTGCTATTTTTTTCAAGGCTCCTAAATCCTCTTTGCATACAAATTTAATTGTACAAAAAGTTTACTTGTTGATTGTTTGAATCTTTGAATGCAATTCCCACATGATGATAGTGATGGAAAATGGTACTTATACATCCATTCTAAGCCACCAAAAACTAACTGTAACACTGGTAAAAAGGAGTCATTTCTGTGTCTGTGTTTACACTTTAAACGCCTTCTTACTCTTCTGTAGAACTTCAACCACCAAAAGTCAAAAGTACCCTTTATGGGTTAAATATGCACAACAACCATGCAGATGGTCAAGCAAGACTGGTGAACTTTATTTGCTGGTGGCAAAAGGCCACAACCCTTCAGTACTTCAACCTGCAGTCAACAGTGACATATAGACAAGGTAAACCAAGGGGCGCTAAACACAAAAGTAGGAGACCAGGACAAAGGCACTATGAGCCTGTACTGCAGGCTGCAATGCTCCCCAGATCTCACCAAGGACAGATAAGCCAAAATTACTCACTGCTTTCCTTACAGACCTGGAACAATCAGTATGTTTTTCCTCTGAAAGTCTTAATAGTTGATTTGGTTGTATCTAGTGTAATACAGGAGTCAGCCTTTACACCAAATCACAATTTCTTTTAAGATATGCTGCACAGAATACATTCAAAATCACTGTTTGCTTTTTCTTCGCCTTTGTCTTTTTTTCCCTGAACGAGTGGGTGCTGGAGTCTCTGGTGTTTCCTTTACACTGGATACAGGCTGTTTGAAGACTATTTCATCATCTTTATCATCATTCATTTCAGCCACTTCAGATTTTCGTTTCTCCAGAAATGTTGGTGTACAAACTGGTGTGGCGCTCTGGGATCGACAGAGGATTAGATCACACAAATGTGGCACAATATTAGGACTGACTTTACACCGAAGTATCACCTCCTTTCTAATTTTACAAGGTGTCCCGTGTTACTTTAGGCCCAGTTCAGCCTTCTGGTGACACAATTTCAGATAATCAGCCAAGACATTTACCAAGTTTAGTATGGAAATTCATTAATTGGGATATGTTCAACTGTAAGGTTTTAGGTAGAAAACTGCTGAATTACCAGTTAAGCGTAACTCAAAATTTCACAATATTAAATTTGAAATCTTAACAAAATGACAATGGCACAAACTGCTTTTCTTGCTTTAAATTATTTCTACAACACCTAGTGCCCAGAATACTAAGACAGTTTTACCTGGCTATCCACAGTCTTATCAGGAGTGACAAGAGAGCCTTTTGAAACCCTTTTCTTCTTCTTCTTAGGTATGCCTGAAGCCTTATTCTTTTTGGGAGAAATCTCTTTTTTGTCTGAAACCTCTTTCTTCTTGGTAGATAAAACCTTGAAATAAATTTAAGACTTTTAACAATTTCCATATTCATTAACTACAGTAGTCTTGATTATATTCCTTCCCCACCTTTTTCAGTGCTAGTGATTAAACCCAGGCTTCATCCAGGCCAGGCAAGGGCATTACCACTAAGCTATATCCTCAGCCCCTCCTTTCTTTTTAGTATATATGATGCCAAAGCGAGCACAGCCCTTCCTCTTATCTGGCTCTTATTGGCAATTTGTAGATTTCTGAAGATTACTGTTTGGAGCATTTTTCCCCGCTTCTTGAGTAAAATATCAAATAAACAAAGTTATAAAGGCTAAACCTGCAGGGCCATTTGGCTAAGTTCAAAATTCTGGCAGTCAGCCTGCTTTTCCACTAAGCAACAGCGTGGGTACAGGAAAATATGCTTCAATGTCCCAGTTTCCAAATGTCAGTATAGTGGTCCAGTACAGTGGTTGGGCCTGGTAAAGGGTTAACAACCAGAAGTGGGCCAAAGGAGTCATCTAGTTTCTGGATAAGGTTAAAATGCTAATAAACCTGGGATCAGAGCCCAGCCCTTACCAAATCATTAGCTTTTTGGAAATAACCTTATAGGTTCTATGAAGTCCAAAAACAATCTCAAAATTTAGTTAAGAAATAAGACCTTTTTCTATGTTAACACCTGGAAAGATCTGGACTCAATGTGTTACAGTAAAAAACACAGAGTACCATAAAAAGGATCAATTTATAGTCCTGATATTTACTGACAGCACACAGTAAACCAAACATTATTTAATTCTGGTAATGCCACCTTTAAATGGTAATCTAACAGCATTATGCCTTTTGGTTAAACAGTGGGTTGACTTCGGCAACTTAAAAACAGATAATAAAAGTTAGTTTCTTCTTTATAATGGAAATGATAACATCATCTCTTAAGTTTTTAGGAAGAACCCCCAACAAAATGTTTCAAGAACTTAGGCAAAACCTCGTATTTAGGGCTGGGGTGTAGCTCAGGGGCAGAGTATGTGCTTAGCAGGCAAGAGGCCTTGGGTTTGCTCTCTAGCAAAGCAAAGTCCCACTGCTGACCCAATGTGTGTCAAGCACTGGGTACTTTGAAAATAATCACAAAAATACAGATACATGTTTTAACTAGTGAGGTACAAAGCTCACATGTAAGAAAAACACCCAAAAACTTCATGATGAAATATTTACCATTGAAGGAAAATTATAATCAATTCCTTTAGCAATTAATTTCTTCCTTAGTAATTTTTCTTTCTTTTTAAATCGATCTTCCATCCGCAACTTTTGTAGAAGTGTCCGCTTATGATTATACCGTTTCACTGCTGGGTATACTGGATGATGAAATGGAACTTGCCAGCCTTTAAAAAGATCTTTATGTACCTTTTCTGGTGGCATAAAATGACCTATTTTTAAAAAGTAAAAAAGCTTTTAACCAAAGGCTAAGAAAATATCTTTAATGTTAACTTTAGATTTCCCCATGCCATTTTTCACATCATAATCAAAATGATGTGGTTTATCTCACATTAGAGCAACAGAGCAGCCAATTCTATCCTAATGGAGCTACTAGTTCATACTTTTGAGAAGCAACAAATCCCACAGCTCAGAACCTTCAGTTATTTTCCACAAGTCACACAGAGTATAGCACTGACCTGGCTTGTGTGAGTGGACACTCTTCAGGTGCCTTGCCGAGCACTTACACCTCACAAGAGCCACCCCCCACCCCCAGCAAAAGAGTTTGAACCCAGGGCCTTAGCATACTAAGTATTCTACCACTGAGCTACATCTTCCGCCCTTTAAAAAATTTTTTCTTTTTGAGATGGGGCTTCACTAAATTGTTGCTCAGGATGGTCTTGAACTTGTGATCCTTCTGCCTCAGCCTGGTGAGTAGCTCAGATTACAAGTGTGGATCACTTGCCATGCTAACAGTCGTAACTTTATTGTGAGAATAAACCCATGCCTGGTGTCTCCCACAGCAATGGGAACTGGGGTAGAGAAGATGTGTTGGCAGCCCCATCAGCCTGTGAACTTGGCCCCTGGGACCCTGCAAGGGCAGTAAAGCGCTGGAGACAGGTATTCTGAGAGCCCAAAGTCAGCGGCTCCACTTGCTAATTTCTGATCTGATGTTGCTGCTCTACTCATTCATGGCTTCCCCTGTGCAGAAAATCTGCAGCCAGCATCACTGAGACTGATTCTGAAATGTGATCCTTACCTTTGATGCTACCCTACCTAGAACCCATTAACCGGCTCTCCTCTGCTTCCAGGATAAATTTTTGGTTTTTTTTGTTTTTTGAGACAGAGTCCTGTTATGTAGTTCAGGATGGCCTTGAACTTAGCAGTGATCCTCCCACCTCAGCCTTGTGAGTGCAAGTGGTGGGGTCACCTTTGGGATAAATTCTAAGTTGCCTCATTTGAGCCCTTTAATAATCTGATCTGTTTCTGCTACTGCTCCTCACATTCCTTCACAGCCAGACAATCATGTCTGGTTTGGCATCTGCTGTCCCCTCAGCCACAGCCAGAGCCATCTCAACCTTCACTCCCACCCGTTCCACTGGCTCACTCCTATGGCATTTTCAGGTTTCTATGGAAATGATTCTCCCTCAGGAAAGCTCTCCAAAGCCTGCTATCCGTTCTTCCCTCGAACTCCCAAAGAAACTTGTCCAACTGCATCTCACTGTAAAAACAGCTACTGCACTGGAAGATTTAAAAATTCCAATTAGTAGGCGGGGATTTAGCTCAGTGGCATAACGCCTGCCTGGCAAGCATGAGGTCCTGAGTTCGATTTCCAGTACCCACCCCCCCAAAAAAATTCCAACTAATTTGAGCTGGGCAGGGTAGCACATGCCCACAATCCCAGCACTCAAAACGCTGAGGCAGGCCTATAATTCTAGTGCTCGGGAAGCCGAGGCAGGAGGATCACTACAAGTTCAAGGCCAGCCTGAACTATATAGTGAGATCCTCTCTCTCACACATAAACACACACTCACACGCCAAAAAAAAGGCCAAGCCAGGATTGCTAGTTTGAGGCCAGCCTAGGCTAGCTAGGTCAGCCTGGACTGTGGAACCAAACCAAAATTCCAATTAAGAGTCTGCCTGAAAAACACACTTGGATTCTTGCACTGTTCCTAAAGAGAGCTGCCCCAGATAAGCAACACATCCAGCAGCTAAGCAGTGTTTTCCATCCCAGTCACCGTCAGCTGGGCACCCACACTCCCCCATAATAAGAAATAAGAGGACTTACAGACCAGGAGTCTTTCACCGAAGAGGTAGTTGTGCATCGTTTCAGCCACTATCTTGGCAACATCCTCAGATGCAAACTCCACAAAGGCATAGCCTCTGCTATTTCCAGTCTGCAATGGAAAATTCATCATGAAAAGTTGACAGCTAAATTCTAGCAATTCATCAAACCCCTAACATACCATTAATTTAAATCATGCACGTTTAGCCCCTTATCAATTAATTTCATGGTATCTTTAAGACCAACTTCAACTCATATATTCCACAGCCTTACGGGAAAAAGAAAAAAATCCAAAAAAAGTTGAATGTGCAGCCAATTTTCAGGTACTTGTGGGATTCTGGTTATACATATAATAAGTAGATGATTACCATGACTGGAATTTATTGGATAGTGATGTTCCATCAAATAAAGAGAACCTGGCAGGGCCCACAAAAAGCTGAGGCAGGAGGACTGCCAGGAGTTTGAGCTCAGCTTGGGTTACACAGTGAGTTCAAGGCCAGCCTGAACTACGTGAGATCCTGTTTCAAACAACAACAGCAACAAAGAACAAACAAAAAAGAAGCTTACTCCTGTAACCATTTTCATGTTTACCTTTGACCACTTTCGCAGCTCAGGGAAAAGGAACAGTGTAACACCACAGTGAGCACATTTTCTCAGCCAGCCTCTTGCTAGGCATATGGCCATGGAGCTCAAACACCCAGGTTTGGATCCTGGCTCTGACATGTATTTAGGTACACAGTAAGGAATGTGTAAGCCTGTTTTATTCCATTAAGTGGAGATGATAACCACTCTCATAGGGTTGAGATGCACAGACAAAGAGTTCCTAAGAACATCTTGTTGTCAACATTTCTGGATAGGGATAGAAATTGTAATGTGACTCTGGAAACAAGAAATTACCATAAAGTCACATGGTTTCAGAGCCAATTGGCTCATATCTAGCACCAAAGTGTGCCACTAACAACCAACTTAAACAATTCCACAACTCTGAGTATCAATGTAGTTACTTGAAACAGGAAGATATTGGTAAAAATTAAGATGCTTCCAAATCCATTTATAATCCCACCTCTCAAAAGGGAGGGAAAAGATGCAATGGAAGAAACGTGACAGCCAATTCAATGTCCCACCATTAATAAACTAACGTAGATCTTTTGAAAAGTGATTCAGAAATACATGCCATGTCAAAAACAACCCCTCCAACAAACCAGTACTCTAATCCTAGAATGCAGAAATACCAAGCAAATAATCCAAGTTGGAGCAGGGAAGGTTTTACTATGCAACAACACTGGAAATGTTAAATAATATTAGTGCATCTCCTCATTGAATGAGCCTTTTGTATGGCGATGCGTCTGAAGCCTCCAAAGTCAATGTCAAGACAAATTAAACCATTAGGGAGAAAAGGGCAAGGAGGCTGTTGCAGATGGGCTGAAGAGCTGTAACAAGTAAGTGCAATGCGTACCCTTAAACAGATCCTAGAGCCAGGCTTGGTGGTGTACACTGTAATCCCAGCTCTCGGGAGGCTGAGGCAGGAGGATCACTGCAATTTCAAGATCAACCTGGGCTATTAGTGAGTGCAAGGCCAGCCTGAACTGCATAGTAAGACCCTGACTCAAAAAAAAAAAAGGAGCCAAAATGGGTACAAAAAGCTAGCTAAAGACACTTCTGAGACCAAGGAAATGTCAAGACTACACATTAAATTGTTGTTATGGTATGACAATGTCCTTGATTTTAGGAGATTTATAACATTTACAAAATAAGATCCTACCAAAGGCAGAAAAGTTTTTGTCAAAGACAGTAAGAAAGGGCAAAAGATCTGAATAGGTGATTCATAGGAGACAGGGAATTCCAATAACTACTTTGTATATGATATTCAAGTTCACTAAGAGGAAGACAGAAACAGCACAGCTTACTTTAGACTCAGTGACCCTGAAGATATTTGTTAGAGCAGCATTTTTCAAACTCGGAGTACTTTTTGGAGTAACAAAATCAATTTAGTGAGTCAGAGAAACATTTTTTTAAAAACTACATAGAATATAAAATCAGTATTACAAGACAAGTATTGTCTTATTTTGGTTAGAATGGAAGAAATACCAACATTTTAAATTTGAGATTCCCTTCAACAGATATTACTTACAGAACCTAACATTTAAAACTAGTGAGTTTTTCAAAGACAAGGTCTCAACTTATGTAGTTCAGGCTGGCCTCAAACTTGGGGTGCTCTTCCTGCCTCAGCCTCCGGAATGCTGGGATTATAGGTGTGCATCACCATGCTCAGCTAAAAGCTGTGGTCTTAGGACAAGTAGCCAATGACAGATGCACCTGATCCCCTCGTATTTAAATTAAACATAAACAATTTAACTTTTGCTCTACTATAACTCAAGTGGAAAAATCTTACCAAAAAAAAACCAAGATTCCAACAATGAGATATCTATGGCTATAGCCAATAAATGCACAGAGGAATTAAAGTAGGCCACTCCTCTAGTCCTGAAATAAGCCAAATAAAACTTTTTATTCATTAGGAGGTAGGTATGATAAAATATTGACATTCATACAGTGCTTACTATGTGCCAGGCAATGTTTTAAGAACCTTAAGCTTACTGCCTAATTCAATCCTTGACTAAACACTCCTAGAAAATTGGTGCTGTGGATTTTACTCATATTTTACAGACTTTGAAACAGAAACATGGAGAGGTCACATAAATGTATCCAAAGTCACACAACTAGTAGCTAGACGGCTAGGCCTCAAATCTAGGTAGTCTGGCTCCAGAGTCCTTAACTATCACTACATAAATGTTTGCTATTATAGGGATACTCCTGCCAGAGGCTAACACAAGATGATGTATAGACCTGGAGCTCAGACTGAAGTTCATTTACTTCTGGGCTTGGTAGCCACTGGATAAATATGATTCATTAACTTGGAGTATCAATTTAATTTGGGTGTCTGATTAAATTCTTTTAGGAAAAGAAATTATGGATTTTGCTCTTGATGCTTTTTCAGATTCTAAACCTTATCCCACCCTTTTCCCAAATGAAGCCTGATAATCAACAGTATGTGAACACTTTCTGTGTCATCGGTCATTGATGATAAAACATTTAAAAAACAAAACGATCAAGTTTGGTTTACAAAAATCTTACCCTTTTACTTCTGGACAGTCTGAATCTTGTAATATTCCCAAATTGAGAGAAATATTCTTTGATCTGGGATTCAAAAAGTACTGGAGGTAGGTGACCCACAAAAATTACTCCAGGCTTAAGTTCTTCTTTCTTTTTTAGCTCTTGGTTTTTTTGCTGACAACATAAAACACCAGATAAACAAACATTTTTAGAACAGAAATCACATTGCAGCAGAACTTTCAAAACCTCTACCCCTTGGTCCAAGAACATACCACTACTTTTACTTATCACAGTGTAATTTTAGAATTAGCTGTTTGGTGTCTATCTCCCCACAAGGACAGTCCTCACTTAATCATCTTCTCAGCCTCCCATCCCAGCATCAGCACCGCGTATGTGCTCCAGACCTGTACGTTTAGTCAATGGGTAAGCAAATAAATCTTAATACGTCACTAAGTCTTCTGCCTGGAGAGCTCCACATACACGTGCCCTGAACTCTTACGGCAAGATCACGGTTTACACTCAATTGATAAACTTCAAGAAGCTTGTTAGTAACCTTCACAATGTCACACTGATCTTTGGTAATAAGAATTTGTTTTCCATAGTGTATTTTACGATAAACACCAAACAAAATATAAACGTGATGGCAGGAACCCTTACCAGCAAACAGAGCTTAGCATATAACGCCTTTTCAGATCTTGAAAATTATCGGGGATACAGACCTCCCCAATGCCCGGTCTTACGTCTTTATTTGTGGTACAGCAGAAGCGTGATAGCTCTAATATGGTACTAACTGGCAGCTTGGGGGTGCCATCCTCCCTGTCCCCTAGCCGGTCCCCTTTTCTCCACCAGAGACAGCCTACACTTCCCTCTAGTTTTCCATACGAAGACCTAAAGCCAGCATGGCCAAACCCCACATGGTTTGCCTACCAGCATCCTCCCGGAAACCGTGGTCTCCCCAAACCCCAAGGTCTCGAGGCCGATCTCACACCCGACAGTGTGGGCGGCCGTGGAGAAAGCAAGGCGCCCAGCTACGCGGAACTGCGCGATCGGGGAGACTCGCCGCCTTCCAGCCTCAAATTTAGGTAGTCTGGCTGCAGGCCACTCACCTGGGTCAGGCGACGCCGAACCTGCTCCACCTCCTTCTGAAATTCAGCATCTTCCTGGGGGTTCAGAGACAGAATTGGCGCGGCAGGACCAGAAAACACCGCCATGCTGAGAGCTCACCAGCACCCCGGATCCACGCGGCGCTCCCGGAAATGCTCACGCTCCCAGCTTCTGGGAAGCGGAAGTAGAGGCGGGAGAGGGGCGTGGCGAGGCTTGGGGGCGTGGCAGAAGGTAAGGAGAGCTGCGGGGGCCCAGCACACGGCAAGCTTGCCCACCCCCTGCTGGTCAGGCGCCTCTTCGCCGCGCTCTCACACACTCCATTTGTCGAAATGCAATGTCCAAAACAATTATGTTTCAAAACGAGTTTAAAAATAAACTCCAAAACAATACTTGTGCCCTTGATATCTTGCTATTCATTCTTTCCTTTGTCTAGTATTTCTTTTTCTCACTCACCTTTTATCTTTTCTTTTTTCTTTTTTCTTTTTTCTTTTTTTTTTTTTGGTACCGGGGATCGAACTCGGGACCTTGCTCTTGCTAGGCAGGCGGCGGCACCATCTTTTCTTTTCCTTTTTTGGTTTTTGAGACAGAATTTCCAAGATGCCGACGCAGATCTGAAACTTGAGACCTTCTTGCCTCATTTTCCTAGAACCTGGGATTACACTGCTCCTGGTCTGTGAGTTTTCTTTTGGGGGGGTAGGGTCACGGTATGTTGCCCTAGCTGATCTCTAAGGAACTCGTAAACTCCAGGTGACTTTCTGCCTCCACCTACCCAGTGGTCGAGACTGCATACAGCGGTTCCCTCGCTTGGCTTGGAGGGTTTTTTGTTTGATTTTTTTAAAAAGCAAAATTCATTTTGCAAACATATTAGCCTCGTCGTTATAGTCAATTCAGCTCTTGTTCTACAGAAATGGACCGCGGGTTTCAACTGAAGGAGTTAAGAAACGACATGTTGTTGTTGTGGCATTCTGACTACTGACTACTGAACAGCACACTTGATTATGAATTACGGGCACATGAGAAACGGCAAGGGCAAGATGACTCTGATCTTCCTTATCATTCATCAAGGATAAAACATTGACTCGGAAGGAAACTACTAACAAACCTAGTTAAACCACCTAGCCACTTTCCCCCATTAACTACCCTACTCCAAGTCCCTCTGCGCTGTCATATTTTCACAATTTACTACTCTGTCTAGCTGGCATATGTGTATGTCTGTGTCTGTGTCCTGTGCCACATACAGCTTGTACTAAGTAAATGCTTATGCTTTTCTCATGCTGATATTCCTTGTGTCAATTTAATTTTCAGACAGAATTGAAAAAAAACACTAAGAGGACAGAAGTAAAATTTTGCCTAACCTACAAAATGTCTTCAGGGGCAGGTCGTTCATCTGAAACATGAATTTCTATTCATGTCATGGGGTCTTGGGAAACAGCAAAAACTAAAATATTACCCTTAGCTGACCAGAAATTGAAGGGGAAAAAAATTGACTCAAGAAATTAACTTCTAAGTATACTGAATGTATAAAATATAATCTTAAGAATTACAATTTTCTTAGCTTCTGTTTGAGCAGTTATACAAGCCCTTAAGTGCAGCAGTGGAACTAAATGGGAGAAAATGCTTAGTTATTTTATTTCATTTTTTGTTTTGTGAGACAGGGTCTTACTATGTAATTCAGGTTGGCCTTGAACTCACTATGTTGTCCACCCAGGCCTTGAATTCATGGGGATCCTCATGCTTCAGCGTCCCAAGTGCTGGGATTCCAGGTGCGAGCCACCAGACCTGGGTCAAAGTTAGTTTAGAAGACCAAAAACTTCTGTGTTTCTAGATCAACACAAAGACTTTGCTAACTACCAATAAAAGTGACGTGTCTTCACTATGTAGAAATCAAACAAGATTGAAACAGCTTAGATTAACAGCTATAGATTAATAATTCTATAATGTAAATTTATAAAACATTTCCAAAGAATTATAATCCTACATTTCTATGTAAACTGTTATATAAACACTTAAAAGCAATCTAAATGAGGAAAAATATTTCAGAAGACAAAAAATTATTCCAATGTTTTTGGATTATCTTAATGAAACTGGTAACAACTCCAAAAATACTACAGTTACTTGATTGATTGCATGATTACATAATGATAAACTAGCGAAATTCACATATAAACAATCTATGGTTATAAAACAGCCTACAAATTATAATTTTATCACACTTCCATGTGAGCTATTGTATAATCACTGAACAGTACCAAAACTAAAGGAGGAAATACCAGAATCATTCTAGTAGAAGAAAATTTTGTTGTGGTGGTAGTTTTTGTTGTAACTCTCTCTTGGTAAGGGATTAAAAAAAATTTATTGTATATTTTTATTAGTATAAGTTTGCAGTACATAACGATTACATTCATTGCAGAGAGTTGGGACATGTACATAACATACCATAATTCTTTTTTCATCACCTTCTCCTCCTCCACTTCTGCCTTTGATCTATTCCCTTTTGCAAAATATCTATCCTGTTTTCTAATATCTATCTTTAATTTTGCTCCTCAATTTATTTGTAATTTAGTTTTCTCATATAAAAGAAACCATGTGATATTTAAACCCATGTGTCTGAATTATTTCACTTAGCATTATGGTCACAGGATGCATCTATTTTCCTACAAATGAATCAAATTTATCCATCTTTATGGCGGAGTAGTACTCCATTGTGTATAAATACCTCACTTTCTTTATTCATTAACCTGTTGATGGATATATAGGCTGTTTCCAATATTTAGATATTGTGAATTGTGCTGCTATAAACATAGGTATGCATGCATGGCTGTAACATGATGTCTTTAACTCTTTCGGGAAGATACAAGGGGAATAGCTGGGTTGAATGGAATTTCTCTTTTTAGATTTTTGAGGAATCTCCATACTGATTTACAGAGTGGCTGTACTAATTTACATTCCCATCAACAATATAGAAGGGTTACTTTTCCCTGTCACCTCACCAGTATTTGTTATTATTTGATTTCTTGATGATAGCCGTTCTTTCTGGAGTAAGATGGAATATCAGCGTTGTTTTATTTTGCATTTGTGCAATAGCTAAAGATGTTGAATATTTTTTCATGTATATATCAGTGATTTGTACTTCTTCTGAGAAGTGTCTGTTCATTTCAGTTGGCCATTTCTTGATTGAGTCTTTTGTTTTGGGGAGTCTAATTTTTTGGGTTCTTTATATATTCTAGATAGTAGTCCACTGTCCAAAGGAATAGCTGGCAAAATTTTTTCCCATTTTGTAGATTGTGTCTTCACTATGTTGTTTCCTTTGCTTTGCAGAAGCTTTTTAATTTGATGATGATATAGGACAAATACAACTCCTAACCTGAGTTAGGTTAGGAATATGCTGAGTTCATGGTCTCATAACATCAAGGAATGAAGTCGCAAACCAAAGGAGGAAGAAGTTAGGAGAGTTTTATTGGAAATAAGAAGAAGAATAGCTCCTGGATTTCCAAGAAGGGTCCCAAATGGGTGGCCACCAAGGCCCTTTGTCAGGGGTAATTTATACATCACAATCACAATGTGAGGTACAATGTGAATCAGACTACAATCAACCTATCAGATTATAAGGATAGCTATTTAGTTAATATTGATCCAGTAGGGAAACAAGTCATGAGGCAAATGTACATGGAAAGAACAAAGGCATTTTTAGGAAGGAAGAGAAGTATGGACCCAGAAGTTCTGGTCACCCACCTATGAGTCTGTGTCTAACTGGGCCCACCAGGCCAAGTAGTGCTAATTACAGTATACTCTCAAGATGCCATTTATCTCTAGGAAGACATGCAGCCCTGGCTATTGCTTTTCATCCTGAAACCCGATTCTCTTCAGATTTATCTCCAGTCACAATTCTAATGTCTTTATTTTTTTGTGCTGATTTCCTCGAGGGCCCACGCCTCTCTGACTGTATATTAATTTCTATTTAACTTAGCTGCCTATCATAATATTATCCCATTTGTTGATTCTTGATGTTATTTCTTGTGCAACTGTGGTTCTGTTCAGAAAGTCCTTGACTATGTCTATCTCCTTAAGAGTTTCACCTATTTTATCTTCCAGTAGATTAAGTATTTCTGTTTTAGCATTTAGATCTTTAATTCATTTCAGTTTTAGGTTAGCACATTGTGAGAGAGATGGGTCTAGATTCAGTCTTCTGCATTTGGATAGCAAAATTTCCCAGCACCATTTGTTAAGGAAGCTATCTTTCTTCCAGTGTATGTTTTTGGCCCTTTTATCAAAGATCAGATGGCTGAACATGCCTGGAGTGTTTCTGCATCCTTTCCTCTGTTCCATTGATCCACATGTCTGTTGTTATACCAGTATCAGGCTGTTTTTAATCACTGTAATTTTGTAATATAACTTGAAATCTGGGATTATGATGCCTACTGCTTTCATCTTGTTACTCAGAATTATTTTGGTTCTACATGAGTTTTAGGATTTTCCCCCTAGTTCTTTGAGGAATGATATTAGTATTTTGATTGGAATTGCATTAAATCAGTATTAGAAAGTATGGCCATTTTGACAATACTGGTTTTGACTACCCAGGAGCAGGGATATCTTTCCATCTTCTGATGTCCTCTTCAATCTCTTTTTAAGAGTACTGCAGTTTTCATTATTGATGTCTTTCACTTCCTTTGCTAGGTTAATTCCCAAATATTTAATTTTTCTTGATATTGTCAATGGGATTGTTTTTCTAATTTCTTTCTCAATGGGTTCATTATTGGGGTACAGGAACACTACTGTTGTTTATGTGGTGATTTTGTATCTTGCTAACTTCTGAATTTTTTTTTATTCATTCTAAGTCTTTTGGGCATTTTTTGGTTCTTCCATGTAAAGGCTCATATCATCTGTAAATAAGGATAGTTTGACTTCTGCCTTTCCTATATGTATCCCTTTTATTTTTCTCTTGCCTGATTGTTCTGGCTAATGATTCAAGTACTATGTTGGACGAGAGTGGTGAAAATGGACATCTTTGTCTTGTCTTAATTTAAGAAGAAAAAATTTCAGTTTTTCTCCATTTATTATTATATTGACAGTAGACTTGTAATATATGGCTTTTTTGTTATTTGAGACAGGGTCTCACCTTGTCATTCAAACTTGTCTTGAACTCACTACGTAGCCCAGGTTGGCCTTGAACTTATGGGAATCCTCCTGCCTCAACTTCCTCAGTGTTGGGATTACACACGTGTCCCACTAGGCCTGGCTCAATAAATGATTTTTATCAGATTGAGAAAAGACCCTCCTATATTTATTTTCTCCAGTTTTTTAAAAATTATGAATGAATGTTGTATTTTGGCAATGGCTTTTGCTGATCTGTTGAGATGATTATGTGATATTTGTCCTTGCTTCTGTTTAAGTGATATATTTCATTTAGAGATTTGCATTTGTTGAATTATCTTTGCATCCCTGGGATGAAGTCTACTTCATTGTAATATATGATTTTTAAAATGCATTTTTGCATTCTGTTTGCCAGTACAGTATCTTGTTGAGGATTTTTGCAACTACGTTCATTAAAGAGATTGGCCTGCAGTTCTCTTTCTAAGTCAGATTTTGGAATCAAGGTATGGGTAGCTTCCAGGAATGACTTTAGGAGTATGTCTTCCCTTTCAATTTCATTAGAGACTTGGAGGAATATTATTGTTAGATTGTCCCAGACATTCTTGTAGAATTCATCAGTCAATTCACTGGGTCTTGGGCATTTCTTAGTTGGTATGTTTTTTATTACTGCCTCAATTTTGTTGCCTGTTATTGGGTTACTCAGAGTTTTTGTATCTTCTTGGTTCAGTTTTGGTAGTTCATATGTACCTAGGAATCTATTCATTTCTTCTGGATTCTCCAATTTATCAGAAATGTTTTAGAAATAATTATTAAAAATCCCCTAGTTTTTGGTGGTGTGTTGTAATTTCACCTTGCTTCTAATTGCATTGATATTGGTTTCTTTGTTCCTTTTTTTGGGTAAGATTGGCTAATGGCTTGTGTATTTTGTTTATTGTTTGAAAGAAACTCTTCTTTGATCTATCGAGTCTTTGAATTTTTTGTTTCAGTTTCATTAATTCTGCTATGCTTTTATAATTTCCTTCCTTTTATTAGTTTTGGATTTGTGCCCCAAAAGTTCTGATATGTTATATTGGCATTATTGTTTGATTCTAGGAACTGTCTTGTTTCTTCCTTGATTTCTTTTGCAATCCACTGATTATTTAAAACAGTGCTTTTTAGGGCTGGGGATTTAGCTCAGTGGCACTGCGCCTGCCTTGCAAGTGCAAGGTCCTGAGTTCGATCCCTGGTACCAAAAACAAAACAAAACAAAAAACAAACAAACAAAAACCCAGTATTG